TTTGACCTTTCACATAACCTTATAAAATAATAAAATTCTGTCGTATTATAATTTTGAATAATTTTTGAAAAGTTTAAAAGTTTGGATAATAATAATAACACATATTCCTAATTATATATGGAAAATTACTTATCTATGTAATTTCTATAATTTAAAACCTATTAATATAATAAGATGATAAAGTTTTAATATATTTATTGTCTGTGACACAAGAAATAATAGGAATTAAACTTGTATTAATATAGACCTAACAGAATGAGAGAAATAGTGTAACAATTAATACAACAATAAAAATAATATAATTAGTATAGCAAAATTAGTATAATCTGAAATTTTTTTTCTCTGGAGATTGTTCACGAATATAAGATCCAACCGCTAAACAAAAATCACATGCATATATAATCTATTGTATAATTTAAATTAAATTTAGTTCATGTACAAAATGATCCTAAAATAATTTGCACACTATAATACCATATTATTTTAACAACAAAATTTTTTTTGCCAAAAGTCTCCAATATCCATGATATATGTATGAGAGATATTTTACCATATTTTTATCTCTTTTTTCCCATATTTGTATCTCATGTCTAATCATTGATGTTAATTTGAAGAAGAATATTTTTTATAATAAAATCACTTTGAATTTAATTAACAAGTTGAGATTTTTTTTTTAAAAAAAAATAAAATTGAAATAGTTTGGTAACTTATTTTTTATTTTCCCAAAATTAAAAGATTGCTATTTTTGACCAATTGTTGCCATTAACATTTTATTTTCTAGACTAATTTTTATCAATGTAAAATTAGTTTAGTTAACAATAATTGAAGTTCTGTTGGTCCGAGGATTGACATGCTATTGTTGTTATTTTACATGTAAATATATAACCTAAGTAATAAAATAAATAATCTTTACTTAAAAAAAGAAAATAGGTGCTCAATTGATTGCATTCAAACTATGAATTCTGTTAGTGCATAATTGCTAAATTATACTTTTATTTATAAGAAATCAATATGTATCATATATTGACGAGGACTAAATTACTAATTACTTAACAAATCATATCTAAACACATGATGTGATATATATTGTATTTGGTCACCTTTATACTCATACCATTTTCCTTTCTTTCTATTTATATTTTACAGGTGCAAAATTCTCTTGATTATATTAGTGAAAATGCATAAAATCTTTTACAAAATTATTTCAATTTATTTACAAAATATTAGTACTTTTAGGAGAAGCAATGCATTGTAGGAATGGTTTACTAATTTTTTAGTAAACATAACTACTACATTAAAAAGTTTAAAAAAAAATTGATTTTATTATGCTTTAATTAGGAGTGCTTTTGAAGAGAAGAATTAGGGATTAATTTCTTTGATTGAAGAATTTTTAGAGATTGTAATTATCAAAAGAAAAAAGAATTTTTAGAGATTGTTACTCTCTTATTATTTGATTTAATAAATTTGATATTTGTGCAAGTTTTTCATGTCTTTTATTTTCGGCAACGAAATTTGTGCTTATAGTTAGGTACAAATATGGTAAAATATCCCTCATATGTATGTCATGGATATTTGAGACTTTCAGTAAAAAAAATTTTGTTGTTAAAATAACATTGTATCATAGTGCGTTAATTATTTTTGAACCGTTTTATACGTAAACTGAATTTAATTTAAATTATACAATAGATTATATGTGCAAGTGATTTTCATTTAATTGTTGGATCTTATTTCTATGAACAATCTCCCAAGGAAAAAAGTCTAGATCATACTGATTTTCTTATATTAACTATTATACTAATTTTGTCATTTTTTTTGTTATACTATTTCTCATTTTGTTTGGGCTTGAACTCTTATTAATTCTTGTGTCCCAGATGTCAATTTATTAAAATTTTATCATCTTATTATATTCATAGGTGTTAAATTATAAAAATTGTGATATATAAACAAGTGATATTCTATATATAACTAGGAAGATTTGTTGTTATTGTTATCCGAACTTTGAAACTTTTCAAAAAATTGAAAATGATTAAAAACTTATAATATGACAAAATTTTATTACATATTTTACAAGGTTATCTGAAAAGTGAAACTACTTTTCATAGTATTTAAAATATATAAATACAAAAAAATTTTAAATTATACCTATAATCATTTATTAAATAGGTATATTACGAGTACTTACTAACTAAGATACTAAGTTTTAATCATTAATAAAACATCTTATCATTATTTCAATTAAACTTCCTAACACCAGTTTTAAATAATTTTTTAATGTAAAATTGTACGTGTATTCCAAAAATCAGTAAGTTTTGATCATTAATCAAATTTACCATGTTATTAGTAAGAATTACCATTTATATATAAAAATTTATTGTTACTTGAATTAAACTTACTCTCTAAAAAGTAAGTTTGAGATATAAAGTAGTAATTTATTTATTTAAAAAGTAAGTTTAATCTTTATTCCAATTTACCTTTTGAGGTATAAAAATTACTAATCTATTAAGGTTAACTTACTATTTTAGATGGGAAACTTACTTCCATATTTTTAGTTGTTATCTTATTTTGGTGGATGGGTCCAACAAACAATCAAATGGTCGCTACAAGTGCAATAACCTGTTATATTAGGTAAGACTGTTTCGTTACCATAACTATAGTTGCTGAAGCATTGTCCTAAAAATAGAAGAACAAGAAGCACAAGCAGTGAATAAGCAAAGAGAAACTGAATTGCGGATAAGTTTGGGAGAAGAAGATGGGAAAGTGGTAAAGAAAAGAAACGGCGGAAGAAGGAAGCAAAAAGAGCAAGGCGCAAGAGATTAGGGACACTCCATGATATGTTTTGCTCATAAACCCATTCACTTTTTTTCATTTTCAAGTTTTTCCCGATTTTGCGCAGAACTGGCATATTGCTGTTTTATCTTTTCAAAATTATGATTGAGTCCTAAATTATTTAAAAGTTTCATATTTTGTTCTCCAGTAACCATTAGTTGAACTGAATAATTTACTTTATAGCATAAATATTATGACTTTACAATATTTCTTTATAATATTATAAGTATTTTTATTTTTATTTGTTAAAAACTCAAAAATTTGTGGGGCGTAGGCAAAGACAAAATGTCTTACCAGTGCTTTCGCATTTTAAAACACTGGCTGTAGTAGCTCTTGCTGAACTAAAACATGATGATTCCAAGGAGAAACAGAAGAAGGAGAACAGTTCCCATCTCATCAAATTTCTGAATGATAGAGAGGAATCATTAGTTGTTTATGTTTCTTTTGGAAGCGAAATCCTTTTGTCCAAGGAAAATGGAAGAAATGGCATATGGGTTGGAGCTGAGTACTGCTAACTTCATATGGGTAGTTAGATTTCCCGTGGGACATGCCACTGCCTTTGAAGAAGCTCTACCAGAAAGGTTTCTCGAGAGGGTGAAAGAGATAGGTGTGGTTGTGGATGGATGATAGGTGAAGGCGTGCATTTTACCATCAATGAGTGGTTGAAGTCATAGTTAGAGGGTGAAAGAGATAGGAGTGGTTGTGGATGGATGATAGGTGAAGGCGTGCACCTTACCATCAATGAGTGGTTGAAGTCATAGTTATAAAATTCGAACCCAATCTGTTGATTGAATCGGCTGGCCCGGTACTCGAGCATTAGATTGGATTGGGTCTCTAATTAGATCAAACAAGCAATTAACCCGATCAAACCCGGTTGATCCAATGGTTCAACTAAGAATCCGTCCGATTTTTCAATTGACTCAGTTTACCTTTTTTAAAAAAAAAAATTTGCGGGTCTTTGTTTTTGAAACAAAATGCATATATATATGCTTTTGATAAGATTTGTACATTAGATTTTCATTTAAATATATATCGACTTTACCACTTGCTTAGTTTTTATTTGATAACTAAATATTTTTTTATAAACTTGTTTATTTTTTTATTATACAATTAATCCTTTTAACTTTTAAATTGACAATATTTAATTAGTTAGAAAATTACTTTGTTTTTGAATAAAAAATAAAAGAATGAAAAATAATGCTATATTTTTTAAAACAAGCGATATAAAATATTTTTTATATTTGACTATATTACTTATTTATTTAAAGTACAATAAAATGAAATTAAATCTTCTATTAATATTTATATATTTATTATATATCTTTTTAAGTATAATAATTAGTATCTAAGCACCTTTTATATATTTTATGAATATTAAAATTACTATTTTATATTTATAAAAATTGAATTAATACTCACTGGTTCAATCAGTGACCCACTAGTTGATTCAGTGACCCAATCTCTCTGTCGGATTCTTAATGGGCCGACTTTAATATTTTTTTTTCGAAAACTCAACTATTCTATAATTTATTCTATCCTAGACTATGAGGGTGGAAGAGCCTAAAGCGACTTGTGTTAGAGACTAGTAGATACATAAATCTTATTATATCAAAAGGGTATTTTGACACCACTTTTAAATTTTTTTCGCTGCTAGTGGTGTTTGAACCCCATTTATAGCCCAAGAAAAGTCTTTAAATCCTTTTTTGGTGGCCATTGAGCATGGCTCAGTGGTTAGCGGGGTCAAGTTTAATATTTTTTTTTTTGAAACGATAGGAGGTTTTCATTGCTTTAATGAGAAAGAGTACATATACGAGCAACGGCTCGAGAGAAGCTATACAAGAAGTGTTCTAAGAACACTGAGGAAACAGTCTTTCCTCATCAACAATAACGCCTAAAACATCATCGCTTAATTTTTTGCTAACTAACATATGTTCTTGTCTACACAAGTCAAAAGAGCACATGCAAAACAAACTCTGTAGCTTAGAGATGTCTTCCAGTACTGTTGCCATCTTAATGTCCGCAAGGCTCTGCTGTTTGATTTGTCTCCACAGCTCCTTGTTACAAAACTTCAGCTTAACCTTGCTCCAGTTTCGATGCACAGCTTTGCACAAGGCCAGCTTCAGAGCTAGTGCATCATCTAGTACTTTGTTTCCCAGACTGATCTTATTCATTATTCACCCTGTCATTCTATTCCTTGCATATGCCTTAACTGTGATTCCTATCCCAACCTTATGCTGTCCTTTTTTCTTTGTTGTTTCTATCTCCATTATCACAGCTCCCTCATTTGTATAATTCTGATCTTGCAAATCTAGTCTAGGGACTGTTTCTTTTGTGCTCTTTTCAACTTCTGTGACCTCTTCCTGCAGCTGTTCCATCCAATCCTTGTGTGCTCTTGCTATTGTTTTGAAAGGTGTAACTATATCTGATTTCTCGAATTCTCTCTTATTTTTTTCTTTCCACACCTGCCACAGGATATTAGCAGTTAAACCAATATGTTCCAACCCCTCTGGTCTATGCCTTGCTTCTGAAATCCTTAGCCACCATCGTTTGAAGTTCCCTTGTTGATCCTTTGCCCCATCCCACTGAATAGGAGCTGCCTTCCAAATGTTCATCGAATGAGGACAGGTCAATAGGAGGTGTTCTACAGTTTCCTGTGCAGTTTCACAAGTTGTGCAAGTAGGATCACCTTGGCCCGTTCTCCTCCTCACAGCTTCCTTCACTGGCAGAGCTCCTTGAATGCATTTCCAAATGAAGAACTTGATCTTGTGCTTAATGTTTAAACTCCACAGAGTGTTCCACATTTGAATAACTTGAGGGCTACTTTCTGCATAACTGGAACTTGCTCCATTAGGATTACCCGTTTTTCTTTTTCTGCTTTGCTTCATCAGGAGTTTGTAGCCCGAGTTGATAGTGTATTGCCCTCTCGCCTTTGGTTGCCAATAAAAGCTATCCTTCCTCTCTGAAAGACTCAAGGGAATAGCTAGAATTTTGTGCGCATCATGTCTGTTAAAATTTCTGAAGATGATATTCCTATTCCATCTTTGATGACTTTTGAGCTCTCCCACCTTTTCCAGCTCACACATGCTCCTTCGACTTGTAGTCGGCCTACCTATAGTTGTATCTGGAATTCACTTATGTTCCCAGATGCTTGTACTACGCCCATTCCCTATCCTCCTAATCAGTTTTTCATTGAGTAGGCTTCTTGCTCCCATTAAGCCTTGCCAAATCCAGGATGCATTTTTGGTGGGACTGCAATGTAAGATGAACTCCTTTGGAAAATATTTAGCTTTTAACACCTTGCTCACCAACAGATTTGGTTTAGTAATTAACCTCCATACTTGCTTTCCTAGCAGAGCTTGATTGAAAGCTTCAAGATCCTTGAAGCCTAGACCTCCTGCCTTTTTTTCCAAAGCCATTCTTTCCCAAGAAATCCAGTGCATTTTGTTCTTGCCATTAGATTCTCCCCACCAAAAATTGGCCATCAGTGCGCAGACATCTTTACACAATCTTCTTGGCAGTTTAAAGCACGACATAACGTACGTAGGCATAGCCATTGCGACTTCCTTCAGCAATATTTCTTTACTTGCTGGGCTCAAAAATCTGTTTTTCCAGTTCTGGAATCTTTTCCTTATATTGTCCCTCACGAAACCAAATATCTGTTCTTTAGTTCTTGAGACAACCATTGGGAGCCCCAAATATTTGCCTTGTGTTGCCTCTATCATTCCTCCAAGAGCTTGACATATTTCTCCCTTCTTCTCGCTGGCCATGTTTTTGCTAAAGAACACAGCTGATTTGTCCAAATTGACCAACTGCCCTGAGGAGTTTTCATATACTTTCAAGACTTCCATAATCTCCCCTGCCACTTCCTTATTTGCTTTAGAAAAGATGATAGAATCATCAGCAAAAAAAAAAGTGAGTAAGAACTGGACCTTGCCTGCTGATCTTTTGACCTTCAATCCTTTTGCTTTCCTCAGCTCTTCTCAACAAGTTAGAAAAGCCTTCTGAACAAATTAAAAACAGGTAAGGGGACAAAGGGTCTCCCTGCCGGATTCCCCTTTCTGGGGACACGAAACCTTTGACTTCCCCGTTGCAATTGAATGAGTAACTCACTGTCTTCAGGCAGCTATGGATCCAGTTAATCCACGTAGAATAGAATCCCATTTGTTCCATCATAGCAAGCAGAAAGTGCCACTCCACCCTATCGTAGGCCTTTGCCATGTCCAATTTGATTGCCATGTAGCCTTCTTTCCCATGTCTTTTATTTTTCAGGTAATGCATACACTCATGAGCAATGATCACATTATCCAAAATTTGTCTATCAGGAATAAAAGCAGATTGAGTTTTGCTTATGCAAGTATCTAGTACAGTCTTTAGTCTATTGGCCAAGATTTTGGATATGATTTTGTAGATCACACTGCATAGACTGATAGGCCTGTAATTTTTCAAATTGATTAGATGCAAAGTTTTGGGAATGAGAGATGTGACAGTATGGTTCACAAATTTAAGCATGTGACTTGAGTGAAAAAAAGCTTTGATTGCTAGTATGATATCATTCTTAATGGAGCTCCAGAATTTCTGAAAAAACATTGGAGTCATTCCATCATGACCTGTTGCTTTTTTTGGATTCATAGAGAACAGTGCATCATGGATTTCATCCTCCAGAACTTCCTTGATCAGGTTATCGTTCATCTCCTGAGTGATTGAGTGTGGAATACCAGATAAAATTTCTGTCATTTCACCTCTCCCTCCACTCATGAACAGCTCCTTAAAATAATCAGTAATTTCAGTCACTACCTCATCCTCATTGTTAGTCCAAGACCCATCCTCTTTTTGTATTTTGCTCAAATTATTACTCACTCTCCTCCCCTTGACATCAGAGTGAAAATACTTAGTATTTTTATCCCCTTCCCGCAGCCAACTAATTCTAGCCTTTTGACTCCAAAAAATGTCTTCCTCCTTATAAGCTTCTGCCAGCTGCTTCTTTAGTTCCCTTAACTCCCCTTTTCTCTTATCTAAATCTGAGTTTCTAACTCTTCCCAGTTCCTGCTTTAGATCATTAATTTTGCTCCTAGAGTTAGCTTGGACTTTATTTCTCCACTTCAAAAGCTCGATTCTGCAATTTCTAATCTTCCTGGTTACTTTGAACATATTTGAACCATGTTCCTCCTTATTCCAAACCTGCTCCACCAATTTCTGTATCCCCTCTTTGTGGAGCCATCTCTTATCAAAATAAAACCTCTTCTTCTTCCTTCCAATCCCTGGATTAGTATCTAGTAACAGTATAGAGTGATCAGAAGCTAGGGTATCAATATGCTGACACCTTGCCTTCTCAAACTCTTGGAACCACTTCACACTTCCAAGACATCTATCAAGCCTTTGTCGGACTTCACCTTCATTATCCCAGTGGTTACTCCACGTCCAAGGGTGACCTTCAAACCCTATATCCACTAATCTATTACAATCTATGAATTCTCTAAAGTCCCTAAAACTTCTCTCCTCCCTATACGCTCCCCCCCATTTTTCATCATTGGACAAAATATCATTAAAGTCACATGTGATTAAGAATCTGGAACCCCACAATCTGCTCCTATCAGTTAACACTCTCCATTGTTCCTTCCTAATTCTCTGGTCACAACTGACATAAACTCCAATAAACCACCAAGTAGCCCGAGAGTCATTATTTTCCAGTTTGGCTTTTATAGTGAAAGCTGTAGTGTTTACCTCAACAATTTGTGTTTCCTTAGTCCAGAACAAAGCCATTCTACCTGCCCTATTCATAGCTTCCACTGTCACATTATGATCCAACCTTAGATTTCTAGCTATTCTATCTATCACATTCTTCCTGTTCTTAGTCTCGCTCAAGAAAATCAGACTTGGGGAGGAGAGGTTGTTAACCTCCCTCAGATTGGGAACTGTCAAGGGACTCCCCACCCCTTGGCAGTTCCACACCACAACTCTCATTTGCAACTGGAGGTCCCTTTAAGGAAGGATCCCTCCTCCTTTCCCCTAGTCCCTTCAGAATATAGCTCAAACATAGGTTTTGTTTTTTTCCCCTGAGTTGCATCCTGTTGTGCTTCCTCCATCAGTTCATCTCTAATCAACATCTTTCTTTTTCCAATGCTAGCCTGAGAATTGTTATTACCATTTAACACTTGTAATGGTCTTCTAGTTTTGGCCGGTGGGTTTAATTTTCTAAAAGATCTCCTGGATTGCCTGTCTATAACCCCTCCCGCCTTTCCATCTCCTAGGGATTCCTGATGAAGAACTAAAACCCCTGACTCTTTCTCTATGAGCTCAGCTTCCAGGTTTTGGTTGTGCACTGCCACTTCTACATCCTCCTCTATCTCTTCCGCTGCATTACAAGTCTGGATTTCTTCCCCCATTTGAGCAGAGGTGGTGAGAACAAGGCCTTCTTTATCAACGTTCATCTGTCTCTCTATCCTATCATGTGACCCTGCCTTATCTACCTCCTATCTAGTTGAGGTTCCTACATCCAACTCTGTTCTAGTATCAGACCCTTCTATCTCCCGCTCCTGGTTACTATCACTTCATATACCAGAAAACTTAAAACCTTTTACAAGATTTTTCTGACTTTGTGACCTATTTTTTTCCTGTTCGACCAACTCCCCATTCCTAAAGGTCCAGTAGCGTTTGTCACTAACCTCGTCGACCTCTCAATTTTTTTTCTGAGGTGAAGTCCTAGTGTTCCCTGCTCTCAACCAAGGATCGTACTGGTTCTCAGCATTGTTACCTCCTAACCATCGCTTTTCTTTGCAGGACCTCTCACTGTGTCCTACAATCCTGCAGTTATAACAGAAATCCGGACATCTTTCATATTTGAAAGCTATCCATTTTCCGGCTCCTGCAATCCTGACCACGGTGCCTCTGAGAAGAGGTTTAGATAGATCAACCAAAGCTAACACTTTCAAATGTCTACCCTCATTCCCTCCGGACTGTGGGACTAAGACCTCTCTAACTTCAATAAAAACTCCTCCTATCTTTTTTCCAATCTCCTTAGAAAGCCAGTGAACTGGTAAGTTCCAGAGTTGCACATATAGAGGTGCTGTCATAAAGGCTTTGTAATCCTCTTCTATACCTTCTACCCATCTTTTCAGAACTAACATCTGATTGTCTATAACCCAAGGCCCTCCCTCTACTATTCTATTCTGATCATCAGGATTTTGAATGTTGAACTGGAACACGTTAGGTCCCAGTTCCACCACAAACAAATTCCTGGGGTACCCCCAGGCCACAGCCACAAAGTTTTTAATTCCAATGAAATTAATAATTTTTTCTCCTATAACTCTACCAATAATGCTGTTCTCACAAGCTCTCACCCCCGTATGAAAGTCCTCTAGCTCCAACGTAGGTCCTAGCAGCTCATTCCCTTCAAGGGAAAATTTCTGTAGGAACTCTGTCAAATCTCCCTCCATGGTAAATATCTAGCAATTCCAAGTGGTATAACCACCCATACTTAGGATAAACAAACGCAAAGCAGACAGCAATGGGACCCAAAAAATAAAAAAGACAAGAGAGGACCAAATAGCTAAAGAAGAAAACAAGATCCAGCAAAGAAAATAGACAAATAAAGATAATGAATGATCTCTGCTCACTTACACTGCATACACAAGACAAAAGAAAGAAAGAACACTGAGTCTCGTTTGTCCAGGCATTAGCATATCATCTGTGGGTTGTGGCGCTTGACCTTCTGCCCTTCATGCACTGACTAGCTGGAACTGATATATGTTCCTTTAAACTTGAATCCAACTCCCTCATTGTTGGTTACTGATCGATGGTTTTAGGTGTAGATTTGCAGGAATGTGGTAATTTGAAAAAATTTGAAAGGTGCTGACTTCCCACCAAAGAGGTGAGAGGACTCTTAACCCAAGAAAGAGCACAACTACTCTAGAGTGAAAAAGCCTCTACTATAGTGAGTCAAGTTTAATAACTATGGCTGAAACTTGGGTCTTGTTCACGTGAAAAATTTCTAAAATTATGATGATTTTTAAAAAAATTCTATAAAGGGGGCATTTTGTGTATGGTTTTCTATTCTTGGGGTCTTCGCATTTGCTAAATGCGAAGTCGACATGAATTTTTCGACCACCGAAATTATATATAAAAAAAAGAAGCATACCTCGCATTTGTAAAATGCGAGGTTATACTAACCACGCATTTTACAAATGCGAGGTCATGTATACCTCGCATTTGTGAAATGCGAGGTTAGTAACCACCAATATAGAAGGTCATTTCCTTCATTCTTTTTGACGTTTGATTAATACGTATTTGGACTTCTTAACTTTAGTAAATATTTAAAAGTCACTACCACTAAATATGTCACAGTTATGATTTCTTGGCTGTAAAGTTGTGTGAATTTCATTTCACTCGACAACAGTGAGACTAACAATAACCATTTTTTGCATTTAAAATAGCGATTGGTGGATTCAAAAAATTTATGAGTTTTGTAGCTTATTTGGAATTAGTCGGAAAAGGGAGAAAATGTTTGGAAAATTGCAGTTGCTGTAATTAGTGCAGAATTGTGATGATCCGAGCTCGTATCCTATAAAAACCTAGAAGGATCCGACCACGGATCGTTTGAAGCGCAAAAAATTAAAACAGGAGATCCTAGCTCGGATCATTCAAGTTCCAGTTTGATCCGAGACCTCGGATAAACTTCTGGTGTAGTGGATCCGAGCCATGTAGGATCCGAGGACTACAAGAACAGATACGACCTCGGATCTGTTCGCGGATAAAGCAGAAACGAACCCTCGTTTCTGCACTTTTCAAATATTTCTTCCCTCTTCTCACCGAAACCCTACCCCCTTTCCTCCAATCTTCTATTTAATCTATCAAATCTCCAATCCTTCACCATAAACACCTCCCTAACCCTTGTATGATCATAAACCGTAAGCCATTTCACCACAAAACATCATCAAAAGTGGATTTTGATCTTCAAAAGGGAATTTTGGGCCGCACGGAATTTGTTTGATTTCTGGGTAAAATTGGACTTGTTTCTTCCTCATTTTTCATCATTATCATTCTCCAGCATCCTCCTTTACATTTGAGGTAACAATTTGCAATTTCTTTTGAGATTTTATAATTCCTATTTTTGCATAATTTTTTTAGTTTTTGAGTATATGTGATAAAAGCTTATTTGTTGAAATTTCTTGATACAATTGTGTTACATTGTGATAATATATACATTTAGTAATGGTTGTTTGCTTAGATTTGAGAAATTTGTTAATATGGTGATAAATTTTATAATTTTTCTCATGAAAGCACACTATACTTTTGTTTGCAATTTCTTGTTTTCGTGTATAATTTGCATTTGTTTGCTTGAAATAAGCGCATCTTTATGCAAATTGATGATAAATTATGGTAAGTATAGTGGGTAGTTATGTATTGGTTTGAAGAAAAGTGCCAAAAGTTGAGAATTGTTTGAATTGAAGATGTTTTTCGTAAGGCATATGGAGACGCTGCGATGAATTGATGTTTGAAGCTTAATGTTATAGCATAGTGTCATTGATAGTCTACTTTACTTTCAAATTTTATTCCAATCTTACAAATGGTTTTAATTGTCAAAGTATTGGAAGTATTTAGTGTATCATGACAACCTTGTTGGTAATATTCATTCTCAATGTGAGAATTGTATTTGTGAGGTCTTACGTAGATTTTTTGCTTGAATTTTTGGTAAATGTTGGCAGGTAGTTTAGCCCTTTTTCAAGGGGAAACTCTGCCGAAATTTTTTTAAATTCTTATTTAATACGTGTGAGCAAGTTTCTACGATTTCTAATGAACGTTCATCTTGCTTTTGGTATAGGTATTATGTCTCGCACAAGAAGGTCTAGAGCACCGACACCTCCATTTTCGTCGACTGAGGAACACACACCTTCCTTGCAAGAGGAGTCACTTGAAGAGGAATCTCCGTCACCAGAGCCGCCACCTCGCTCTCGCCGGAAGACCGCGTCTATTAGCCATGACGAGCCACCTCCGGACTACGATACCACTCGATTCACCTCGCTTGAAAACCAACAATGGTATGAAGCCGGCTTAGACAAGGAGATTATCATCGAGAAGCACTTGGCACCGGAAGTGGATGCACACTACCACATTTCCACAGCATTCAAGCTCCTTGGTTGGGAGAACATCTTACAACTTCCCAAGCATTACTACCCAACCTTGGTCCGGGAGTTCTACGCCAACGTGGAAAACAAACAAAGCCACAGTGGCAATCTCATCGTCTCGTGGGTTCGAGGCAAGAGAGTGGCTCTTACTCGGGATACACTGGGACACTTCGTCAAACTCAAAGACGAAGGACAAGATATCAAATTGACCAAGGAGTTCAAGGCGCGAGACCCTTGGCAGGTGGGAGAGGCGGTTGGACGCCTCAAGGGCCAGTATAGAGAGAGAGGAACTGCGAAGAAGCTTACAGTTTACGCCGATTCATTTGAGCATAGGTACCACCTGATCTTCTACCTGTTTGCCTTCAATGTGGTACCAAAAAAAAGTGGAAAACGGGAGCTCCGCAATAGTGATCTCTACTTTTTGGACAAGATGATGCATGGTGTGGGTGCGCAGCTGACCGGTATTCCTCTACCCAGCATTATCATCAGTTATATGTGGACTACAGTTGGCATGAGGGCCGGCGAGACCTGCTTCGGGTTTCCAAGACTGCTATCCCTCATTTTTGAGAAGGTCAAGGTTCCTCTTGGAACCGAGTGAGCTATCGTCACTAGGTCTGCCGAGGAGGTTAATACCACTATACTCAAAGCTTTGGGCATTCCTACAGATTTTGGAGCTGCTCTGGTTCGAGACACTGGAGAGGCATCGACTTCCGCTCAGCCTCCTCCGCACACTGAACCACAAACGGAAACTCGAGAGGCGGAGGCGCAGCAAGCTCTTCCTCCTCCTGTTCCTCAACCGCCACCACCTCCGAGATCAAAATGGCAAGAGCTCCTAAATGCCATTTGCTGTTTAGAGGCACGAGTCGTCGAGCATATCGATCAAACGGAGAGACGGATGACGGAACAACTAGACAGGCATGATCGCCGTCTTCGGGCGATGGAAGAACACTTCAACATCCGCCGGTCGCCTACTCCGACACCTCATCAGGAGGAGGGCCATATTGGTACCTCACAGGGTCCTCATGGAGCGGAGGAGGCAATAGACCCTCGTTCCGAGCAGCCATGACGCTCCGTAGCAGCTTGGATCTTTTATTTCTCTATTTTGCTTTTCTTTTGTTAAGACAACCTTTGTAGTTTTCTTATTGGATTATCTTGTACAACTTATGTAGTTTGGTACCATTGTTGTTTCATTTTGGACAGAATTGGGATGATTGTGAGGTTTGAAGGGCATCAAATTGCATGACCACTCATTTTGAGGGAAGTTTCAGTGTCTCCTACATGTCTGTACAATGAGGACATTGTAGATTTTAAGTGTGCGGGAGTGATTACTTTGTCTTATGGGTGGTTGTGTTTTGAAATGTATGATTGCAGTTGTCTATGGGTTAAAAATGTTGGAATTATATGGTGAAATATTGTCATGAGATTAATTTCCTTGAAATTGAGGTTGTTGGTAGGGAGTTTTCATCCATTGTTATTTAGATTACTCTATCAAAATTTTATCTTCCAGGCAAAAGTTTTCCAATATTTCAAATTAATGGCCAAAATGTTCAATTTTAAGTGTTTATTTCTTCCATTGGATAAAATGTTATATGTTTTTTGGGAAGGTTTAGTTCTCATTTTGCTTGGAATGAACCATTATGCAATTAGGATTTTTACTTTTTAGGAAGTATATTTGGTTAAATAAGAAAAATTACCTCGCTTGATGTTTTGCATGATTAATGATATTTGTCATTTTCACTTAATTTCGTTAGTAAGTGCTTGATATAGTCACGATAAGGCCAAATTGCAACAAAATTATGCTTACAGGGAAAAGAAATTGATGCCTAAATTAAAGAATAATATTATTAATTTTCTGCTCCAATGATTCATGTACTGGGTAACAAAGGGGCTGGCATTTACAAATGTCGACATTCGCTTAAAAAGATATTGGAGGTAAGAGTATACTTAGCAATGTAAATAAGTGAAACGTTGAGTACCTGTGAATTTTCACCTAAAAGTGTTAATTTTCGCGTAAAAAAGCATTCGCATTATTTAAATAATATGAAATGTGAATAATATTCCTCTAAATTGTTAACATTCGGGATGAGGAAGGCCGTAAAATTGAGAATGAAATTTGCTTATTTGAGGAATTAGGATAGAATGAGAGATTGATTTGAATTTGTTGAGATTAAGGCATAATTATTTTTATTTAATTAAATATTATGAGTATTTAGCGTACACTTTGCACACTTTTAGCATGAATTTTTGGTATGTTTTGAGAAGATTAAAGCCATATTTCAACTCCTTTGTGATAATTGCTTGAATATTATTTA